TCCAATGAGACCCTCTAGCCTGATTCCTAAGCCCTTTGCCCATGGCCTTGTTTTCTCCCATGCAGAGACTGGATTATTTCAGCCAGAAAACGCAAGTGAGTCTCATCCCTTCACTCTAAATCAATGGTTCTTCAAAGTGGGGGGCGCAGAGCATGCCAGGGGGGGGCGCGAAGAGACCAGGAGAAAAATGGTTATAAAAAAAAAAAAAAGATCCAAATTTGAAAAATTATTGTTTCGAAAATAATATGATCAGTGGCAGTACTATTACGTCCTGGGTCTCTGTGTTTCGATCAAAGCTCGGTTCTGTGTGTGTGGGTGTGTGGAACGAGCCATTTGTGTCGTGCGTGGCGAGCGAGAGAGAGAAGAGAGCGCACGGTCACTACGGGATCGTTGTTGTTGTTCGGTGCTAGCCGAGCTACGCTAAAAGGATATAGGAGTTTTTCAACAAACAAAGTGGAGGAGAGCTCTCCTGTCAGACTGAGAGATCAGTGGGCTAAAGGATCTCCTTAAGTGTTATCTTAGTGGTTCTCAAACGTTTTTGGTCACCATTAATGTAAACAATTATTTCCGAGGCACGTGTTTTATGATCATTACAGTATATAAAAAAAGAAAATAAATGAAACAACAGTATGAAATAACATATAGACAGTAAAACAAGAATAAAGTTTAAAGGTGAATTGTAAAATATCCATAAAGAAAAAGGAAATTGTTTACAATTCTGTTTCATATGGGTGTTGAGAGATGTATCCATAGATCTCTTAATGTTGCTCTCAAAATGCACCAGATTGATGCTTTGAACATTTAAAAATAAATTTTTCCCGGGGGAGCTTGCCCCCGGACCCCCCTATGTGAGGTAGGGCTTCAACAAACGACTAATTTGATAATCGATTAATCTGTCGATTACTGAAACGACTAATCGATTATTCGGACTATTACTTGCGCAATTTCTCAAATTCTCTTATTAGCCATCATTAAATTTAGGTTTGAGGTTGTTTTAGGCATGTGGAAACTAACAATGAAGACAAAATAGACAAATACTTGATTCAAAAATACATATTTATTAAACTTTCTGCTGAAATATATAAAAGATAAATAAAAAATCTGTCTGTCAACATTTTTAAACCAAGGGCAGCAACAATATATAATAAAAACTACAGCAGTTTCCCTTAATCAAATAAAAAAACTATTTCAACTTAAAAAGGGATAAACACTCTTGCATCTAGGCTAGATTATTCTGGGTTGAAATGGAGGAAAGTCAGCATCTCCACATGATCTCGGGAGAGGCTTGCTCTCTTCTGAGAGCAGATATTCCCCGCCACAGAGAAGATTCGCTCAGACGGGGTTGATGTTGCAGGAATGCAAAGGAAAGATCTTGCAAGCTTTGACAATACAGGGAAACGCCCCTTATTTTCCCTCCACCATCTCAGAGGGTCATCTTTTTTGTGAATGGCTGGCTCTGCGAAGTACGTCTGAACTTCGCTCCTTGCTATTTGGAGCTTTTGATCCTCGTGAGATTCATCACAAATAGTGGAGTGAGTGTAGTGAGTGAAGAGTGAGGGTGTCCGTGCGTTCTGGGTATCTTATATATAAACATAAACTAATTACTTTTCATCTGAAATACTTATTCTTTATTTTAGTGACTATGCATTAAACATAATTTAATTTCATATTTCACAGGGTTTGTAGAATTGACATTGTGACATACCGCGAATGTAAAAATTGATTTCTAGTGTAGACTACAGAAAATCCATTTCCATCTGGCTAATTCCTTCGTTTTCGTGCGGAGTGTGACTGACTCGACTACAGACCTGATCAGCACGGTTGCTCCGTATGGAACGCAGGACGGTAAGTAGTCACTTCTACCTTTACTTCTGTACCTTAGAACGGTGGGTACGGAGACTCCTCTCCGTAAGACCACACCGTGTAGTACTGTACCGACCTCCTCCACTATCGATTTAGTACTGTAGAAGGATGGTTTTATTTCGGTCATCAAGTGCTGTTACCCAGGTTATAAACCGTCGTTACGCTTTACGACCTCCTTTTTTGTGCCGACCCGGAGACACGCCGACGTCACCCGTGTGTGAGGTCGGGTATCAATTGTTACGGGAGTTACTCTCGGGTGGTAGTCGTCTCCGAAATCCCGACGTTCTGTGAACCAACTTGTGAAAGTCCTCTTCGCTCGACCGTTTATGTTTTTGACTCCACTTTGTTCGTCGTTTACTTGTGTGTGTCGTATTTGACTAGGTCCTCAGTCCATGTTCTACTTGTCACGTATGATGTACCATCTCTCTGAGGACCTTGTCGCGACCGGTCAATGACGTTGAGATAGGCTAGGACTCCATTGAGGTTCCCCGTTTGTCGTGAAACTGAACTTCGGTCTAGTTACCCACGCGACGACTTCTCAACTGTGTTCCCACGTCGGAAAAGTTACACGATGGCAAATGGATTCACCTGTCCTCATACGTTGAGAAGTACAGAAGGTGTCGACGACCAGTTTCCTGACGTTGCCAGGTGTGTCGTTTGGGCAAAACTTTGCCCGCGTCCTTTTCGTAAAAACAGTTCACGTCTTTTACCTATTTGCTTTCTACCCCCCACAGACTTGTAGTAGAGTCGTCTCTTTCTTTTGGGCTAACAAGAAAGTCGAAGGGGAACTGGTTCTAAGTCTTTCGACTTCAAATACCCTCGACTTCTACCGTGTGCCCACGTTCCCAGTTACTTCAGGACGTTTATTTCTCATTCCCCCAGACTCTATGTTCCGACACTCGCTCAAGTTGTCGTTCTCCCAGTCATAAGGCCGTCTCCCCTGTTTAGTCGTGACCTATTGGAGGAAGTCAGACTGTGTCTGTCAGACTCNTACTCTGGTGAAAGTAGAAGTACTGACTAAACTTCTTTCCTCAAGCGAAAATAAAGAAGTATGGGCTTTGAAATGTCCTTAAGTAAAAAGTACCCATAACTAGCGTTATGGGTACTTTTTACTTAAGGACATTTCAAAGCCCATACTTCTTTATTTTCGCTTGAGGAAAGAAGTTTAGTCAGTACTTCTACTTTCACCAGAGTATTTTTAAACACGAGTATCTGTACTTCTGCTTGAGTAAAGGAAGTGAGTACTTTTGCCACCTCTGATTTTCAGGGCTTTGTGCGTCTGTATGTTCATCTGTTTTTCTTTAAATTGTTTTGTAGAGTGTACTCAACATCAAGCCTGTAACAAAGGAGGAAACGGAGAAGGAAAAGGTGGCGAAGCACAAGACCTTTGTGGAAAAGTATGCAAAGGAAATCAAACACTTTGGTAAGCTTCAGTTTCGATGTGACTGAGGGGGCGTTGTCTTTGCCTTCCTGCCGCCTCACATTGTCCCTTTCTTTCAAATGTCCCTTCATGTTGTGGTTTGAACCTCCTTGTGTTGATCTTTAGTAGAGTTTTAAACTCTCCCAACACATCTCATGGGCTGTCGCAAAATATTTCACTCATTTTTCTTATTCACTATATAGGTTATTATTTGCTGATTGGGTCAAATATAAAAATACAAAAGTATTTTGGTCCAAGCCACTCATTCCAATTCCCTTTCTCTCTATATGATTAGTATATCTTAGAAGTTAGCTGTTGATTCGTGTTCATATATTGTATGTCGCATTGTAGGACACTTGAGCCACACTATAAACAGTTTATTTGAAACACAATGGTCAACACAGAACAGTTTTTAATGACAAATATACAGGTAGTTTTGGGTTCAAGTGGTTCATTGCAAGTAGGCCCTTCAAGTGGATGTCAAGGGAGGTGTCCTGTTAACTGTATGGTGGGATGTTTATGACTTTGTAAGTCTGATAGCTACAAATAGACAAGTCTTGTGATTAGTAGTGTACTTCCATAATGTTGGGGGACTCCAAAGAAATTCACAAAGGTCCAGATCAAATCAGCAGAAGAGAAATGTTTGTCTTGTAGTCCCTAGTAGTGATCTGGTATTATAAAACTATTGAAAGAAAACATTATTTTTTAAAAAGTTACATTACAACATCCATTTTTCTTGTTACTCTGTTATCAATTTAGAACATATTTGAATTCCTGTGTTTTAAAAAGTAACATCTGTAGTTAATTTTTAATCAACCCATTTTGCTGGCCCTGTTTGTGTACACCAGGAATGCTGCGGCGCTGGGACGACAGTCAGAAGTATCTGTCAGACGGTCCTCATCTGGTGTGTGAGGAGACGGCTAACTGCCTCGTTGTCATCTGTATTGACTTCCAGATAGATGAGGTGAGTTAAGGGGAAAGGGTGTATGCTTCTTCTTGGATAAAATGTTAATAACTCAGCCTGATGAAGCCTTGTAAATCCTCCCTGTACTTGTAGAAACCTGCTCTGATGGAGCAGGTCGCCCACCAGGCCATCGTCATGCAGTTCATCCTGGATTTGGCTCGGACGCTTAAGGTCGACGCGAGAGGCTGCTTCAGAGAATTCTTCTCAAAGATCAAGGTCTGTGTTCAGCAAAACATCTGTGGCCTATTGCTCTGTGTAATCGCTTTTCAGATGAAATGTGTTTCTGCTGGGTTGCACCAACAGGGATTCATTGGTAAACCTGATTAAATCATGGTTTGAGTTATTGCAATAACCTTTAAAACTAGCTTATAATTAAGAAAGATTTAAGTTTAACGTCATTTTTGGAGTAATGGCTAAACCCAGATTAAATGAAACTGTTAACTTAAAACTCATTTCAATTTAATTTAAAATATGAACAAGTATTAATTTTAAACTTAAGTGGGTGTAACTGTCAAAAAGGCTGCCTTTTCTAGATGGACTGAGCAAAAAATCTAATTCCGGTGTCAGACTCGATAGTTTGTGTTTCATCCTGTCCTGTTTATTTGGCAAAGAAATTTTTTCCTCTAGAGGAGGAATTCTGGCCAACGAGAGTAACGTTTAGCTAACTTAACGTTTCATGTCCGCTTCAGACTGCAGACAAGCCGTACCTGGACGCGTTCGACCAGGAGCTGGATCTTCTGAAGGACAGGATCCGCCGCTGTGCTCGGGCTCGAGTGGAGAACACTGTGAAGGAGCTGGAGGAAGAGGAGAGGCAGATGAGACTGGGACCCGGTGGTTTAGACCCTCTGGAGGTCTACCAATCACTGCCAAAGGTAAAGCTTCCACACACACATGCAAGCAAACACAAAGGTATCACTATTTCAGGGAGAAGTTTGTCATAGTGATCAGCGGAGGTTTAAAAGCACGTTTCATGGCTTATCAAACTGAAGAAAGCAATAGCAGAGAGTTAGATGAACAGAACACATTAGATGATTATATATGTTCTTTAAATAAGTATTCAGATTAGTTCTAGTTGAAATTATGACTTTACAAGAAGGCAATTAGGATGGGGTTGTATACAGTGTTTTACTAAATATAAAATGCTTGTCCTGAGCCAGGCATTATCAAATTGCTGTTGTAACATCAAAAGGCTTTGCAAACGATTTACTTTTAATCTTTCTTTTAAACCTTCATGAGGCTGTAAACGCAGCCACAGCATCTTGGGCAGTTAATCTGTTTTGTTAAGTGTTTAAGTATCAGATTATATTGTATGAGCAACAATCTAATTTTTTTAACATCTCATTCCACCTAAAAGAAAAACAGATTAATCCTGGTTGGTAAAATACACCAAAGTCTGTTTCTCAAATAAAAGCTTTCCACACTCGCTGTAAACGGGCATGTCCCCTTTGGTTTTACAGCAGCGAAACTTGATATAACCTTACACTGAAACAGAGAAAAGAGTGGTTGTTGCCCCGCTCTTCATCCCTGGAGGCTGTGAGGGAAACATCAGGCCTGTTGGAGCGCCTCCCTTTTCATCCAGTGTACACACCACATCAGTGAACACCTTGTTTTGCTGTAAAGGCCAAAAAAAAAAGTCAATACCGCAGATCAGATCAACACACAGGGCTACGAGTTGTTGTGTACACACAGTTTTTAAGACGTGACATATATAAGAGACATCATATCATGTTGTCCACCTTTGTTTAATAGATGGACGTAGCAGCAGAATGAATATATTAGGATTCATTCCAATCTACCGGCTTTCCTGCTTCTTCCATAAAGTTCACTTCCTGTTAAAAGCTCCTGACGTGAGCTATTTGTGAGATTGCATTTCCCGCACAGATTTCAGAACAGTTGTTTGTAGACTTGGCGCGGTCTATTGATATGAACCGTGTTGCCATTTGGATAATCAGAGGAGTCAATACACGGCAGAATGGACTCCACCAGTCAGGCATGAGCGCTCTGTGTGCAAGGTAAACAGCTTATCCACTTTCTCTGAGATTACGTACCGTAATTGTTCAGCTTCTCCTGACTGATTTAAATATTTTCTTTAAGTGAATTAAGGTCCAATGTCAGTAGAATTGGGGAAAAAGTGGGAGTGAATTTAAAGTTATGAATGCAGGATTTACTTAAAAGTGATTTGATATAACATGACAATGAAAGCATTTTCTTACTGAACTCACATTGTTTCAGTGTTGAGATCTGCAGTGGTCAGTTCAGTACGTAATGTTTAAATGACCATGCTAGATGATTTCTGTTTTGTATCCTAGGAAGTACAGAAGGGCTTTGATGAGAAGAACATCCAGTTGCTGCAGGAAGCTATGAGCAAACTGGGCGTGGAGGTGAGTGTGTTGGACGTAAAGGTTCAAATAAAAACGAACATAGAGAAGGCCGAAATTGTCTTTGATTGGGACAAAATACATGTGATTTATTAATTCTGTTTTTCCATCTACAGGAAGGAAAATACCACCTTAGGAGATGTATCGACTCTGGACTGTGGATCCCTCAATCAGGGGACAGTGACGATGAGGAAGAAGATGGAGAGGACGAAGAAGATGATTCATAAAAGAATGAAAAAACATACCTTGTTTGTGTACATTGGATGTTGACATGTCCAACCATCGTGTGTTTAAAACAACAATATAACGTCACAGCGTTTTCAAGAGCTCAGACAAAAGCCTTTAACAAAATAAGCTTCTACGTAAGGCAAGCTTTAATCAGACTTTAAACTGCAGAAACTTGACTCTGAATAAATGTCATTAGAATCAACTTATTTTACATTTGATTTAATTTGATATAGCACTCCAAAACATAGTTACCAAATACTTTAATAGACAAAAGGGCAGATAACACAATGTATAACTCTTTAAAAGTTATTAAAACATTAAGCGAAGGGCATACACATGAGTGAAACTACCAATAGCAAAATACTTCAAAAATTCATCGGGGAAAAAATAAACTTTTGCTTTTAAATGAAAGCATGTCATAGCAGGCTCATATTTCTATCTGCTTGTATCTGTTGTCAAACTGAGGTCAACAGCACCATCTCATGTCTGCTTATGGACAGACATCCCATACACTACATCACAATCATGTCAGTCAAACACACATTCCTCTAGTTTCCTCACTTGATTCAGATTTTAGTGTAGCAACGTCCGGGATGCAAAATAGAAAGAAACCAGAACATGTTTAAAAAGTTTCAGCTAGAAAGTGGTTATTATTTCTGCATGAAAAAAAGAGACATTATGTATTTAATATCATTGTAGTTGCAGATTAATCTTCTGTCAATCGTCTAATAAACCAAGTAAAATAGTTTGAATGTATTTTAAAGTCGTTGCTTTCTGATGTGAGATTGTTGTAATTGTTGTGAACGTAGACGTTTTTATTTTTGTATTTCTGCAGTTGTGAGACGGTTTAATTTGTGTTGTAGATGCGTAGAATAAACCAACTTTTATTCTTCACAAACTGTGTTTATTTATTAAGTGTTCCACTAGTTCCTCTGAGTTTTCATTCATTTCCTGCTGTACCTCTCTCTCTCTCTCTTTCTCACACTTGCATAATTAATTCCTGTATCTCTCTCTCTCTCTCTCTCTCTCTCTCTCTCTCTCTCTCTCCCTCCTGCATAATTAATTGCTGGGTTTGATTTAGTGGTCTGTGCTCGTTTTCTTTCAGGCAAAGCTTCTTTGTACTGTCATTTTGTAAATAGAAAACAATCAGTGCAGGCATGGGGCATAAATCAAATCTAGAAGATGCCTATACAGTAAAGCTTTCTGGAGAGAAACCGAATAGAATCACAGCTCTATGCAAACAATGACCAGGTGTATGTTTACCTGTATGTTAAAGTGAATATGGTTGTCAACATCAGGCCCTGACTTGATTTATGAATGTTATACTAATTATGTGAAGGCATTTAACAGGAACAGTCAGCTCAGGTTTAGTTCCTCAATATTAACTCAGAGACTGTTATACGGCCATTTTGTGAACCATCACAGTGTACGTCGTCTGTCAATCGACTAAAAAGTAATCTGCAACTATTTGTTGTTTGTTGTCTGTTTTTTAGACCTTTTCAAACAACAATCTCACATCTTCTCTTGTTTTTAACTTTTCAAATCTCTGCATTTGCTTGTCTTGCATTATAGTAAACTGAATAGCTTTGGGTTTTGGACTCAGTTATAACTTAAAACAAATAGTTCCAAAATGTCCTCCTGGTCACTGGGTCACAGTGTTTTCTTACACATGATTAGCATATGTTTCAACTAACTCCTTTTTTGGTACATAATCAGCTGATTGGTTGATAATACAAATTATGACTAGCTAAAGCCTTGCTATCTTATTTCTATCAATGGAGCAGATTCACAAATAGCAGCTCTTTGCTTTCCATCGTCGTAAAGCTTGGTACACATTTATCAAAAAATATTGAGGATGAAACAAAACAGAAAAGCATGATTCCTCTTTTAGGATTTATAATGAATACATCACATTTGATGAACCGTCACAGTCTTCTGTCAATGGACTCAGAGGTTATATGCAGCTATTTTGAGCTGATGTATTAAGTCAAGATCGTTTTCACTACATTTTTAGGCAACAATCTCAAATCTTCTATTGTTTTAATTGATCAAAAATGATTTGCTTGTCTTAATACATTAATTTCAACCTTACTATCTTATTTCTATCAATGGAGCAGATTCACAAAAAGCAGCTTGTCGCTTTTTGCTTTCCATCCTCAGTAGCCTACACATTGATTGCAAAAATATTCAAGATGAAACCAAACGTATAAGGGACACAGGAACTGCATGTCATTGAGCGGCTGTAAAAGGACATGCTAGGGAAGAAGCAGCGTGAGTAACAGGCTGCATGAATCCTTTACTGTGATTTTCTTTCTATCAATATGAGCAGCGTGTGCCAATGAAACCCTGCTGAGTGCACGGGTGTGTATAATGGAGAGGACTGACGCCTGACTATTGAAGCAGGTGAATCGGCGTGTGGCTGCTATTGAGGGAAAATGCCACACAAAAAAAGGCAGGGGTACCGATGGAGAGAGGAGGAGGCGGCTGTGTGGGATTAATGGACACACTGTGCAGGGGGAGAGAGGGGAAGGGGGAGAGATGGGCTTCTCCACGGCTGGGGGGAGACCACTGTGGCAGGGAGAGAGAGAGGAGAGGAGAGGCAGGGAGGGAGGGAGGGAGGCTGGTGAAAGCCGCGGATATTCATGAAGACGCCGAGTGGTTTCTCTCTCTCTCGCCGTGGTGACACACCACCTGCTCGTCTGCAGAGGGGAGACAGAAGGGGAAGGAGACGGGAAAGAAAGCGAGACGAGGCCCAGCCATCTTGCCATTGATCTTCAGGCGATCAAGGTGAGTGGTGTTTTTAATTTCTAACATGCTGCGGCCTCTCTCTGTGTTGTGTGGTGTGTGTGTGTGTGTGTGTTGTGTGTGTTGGTGTGTGGTGTGTGTGTGTGTGTGTGTGTGTGTGTGTGTGTGTGTGTGTGTGTGTGTGTGTGTGTGTGTGTGTGTGTACATGTGTGTCTGACACATATCTATTGCAGTGTGTGTGTGCAGACAGGCGTGATGGCAGGGCTGTCCTTAATGAAATGCATGGCTTCAGTGTGTGTGTGTTTTTTAATTTTAATTTTTTGGGGGGGTGTGTTTTGTAACGCAGAAGAGCAGTGCTGGTAGTTGAGCTGCATATTGATGCATTGCTGCTTCTTGTTTTATAAGCATCTGTTATAGTGGCAGCCATGGTGTGTATGCTCACATTTCTCATTGTCTGTGCGTATATATGTCACTGTGCACCATGCATGTTGTTGATTCCTCATCACAGACTGTTTCTTTTTCTCGGCTCCACGCTGTGAGTGTGTGCAGAACTCTGGGGTGAGAAAGCTCTCGTTGAGTGGGTGTGTTCTTCATGAACCCTGGTAAAAAGTCGTCTCCACCACTTACTGTCTGTGTTGCAGCTCAATCAGAAACACTCTCATATGCTGAATCTGTTCTATGCATTGGAATTAGCTCATCTCGGACTACTCGAAGTAATTATATAACATCACAGAGCTTTACTGTTGCAGTGTCTGCTCAGAATTAGCCACTGGAGGTACAGCTCCTGCAGTGCAACAATAGCCAAACTATATTTTGTTAGAGGGCAGCCCCTTCTTTAGTCGGACCAAGCGTTTAATTCAATATTATTGAAGGTATTTCATTATGTTTTTCATGCCTTGTATTGTGGAAAACAATTGTTCCCATAAGGATTTTCTCACATTGGATGGATGCATTCAGATGAATGTATTAGATTGAAAGCAGGACATAGAGTTCTGAGGGGAGCAGATTGACACAACAGAGACGTCTCTTTCTCATCGTTCTGTTTTCCCACAGGGGATCTACACCCAAGAGGACACACTGAAAAGATTCCAGGATGGATCTGGCATTATCGAACCTGGAATTCTGGACATCTGAACTTCATATTTACACTTTTCCCCATCAGGATCGGATGCCGACTGACCAATCAGACGCGGAAGCTGATCTGAGACTCGCGCTGCAAAGTCCTCCCACGCTGGATCTGGGATTATTGAGTGTTGCATTCATGTGGATCAGGTTTACCACTGGGGAATTCACGGAACAATACTGCAAGTTGGATAAACTTTTAGGAAAAGGTTTTCCTTAATGGTGCATCATGAACTCTGACCGGGAATCCCATCGGCTCGGTCTGGCCAGACAAGACGCATGCAGGCGACCTTATTTTTTCACAGAAACTCGTAGCTTGCACAAAAATGGAGTGAGGATATTCGTTTATTTTCTTATTTTTCTTCCTCTTTTGGCTTGTTGGAAAATAAAAACACAGAACACAAAGGACCTGACCCTGGAAGCCTCTGAGGGCCTTAAATGCACCTTTCGCTTTTACGCGGGCGCCAGGTTTCAGCCCCCCTGAGGACGGGAGGACGGTTGGCTTGCTGAATCAGCTTCCGATGGGTCGGTTGTGACCGGTTCTGACCCTGGTTTGGACTTGCGTGACCTTTGACCTCTCAGGTCCTGGCTCTCCACCTGCTCTGCTGCCTGGGTTTCAGGAACGCTCCGTCCCTGGGACCAGAACGAGGCCAATCAGGATGAAGAAGAGCCGCAGCGTGCTGTCTGTGACTGGAGAAGAGGTGAGAACATAAACAACCCAGGGGATTAACTCAAATTACATTTCATGTGACCATAACATTGAGTATTCTGAGAAATAATGCTCTGCACTTGTTTCTTCTCGTGAACAACTAAGCCAGTTGATAAATGGTAGGATGCCCTAAACAAATTTCTTCTCTGCACTTTTAAAGGGTTCTAATCTGCTCATTCATCAGGTTCATATCAGTATGTATGTCTCTACTTGTGACATGTTCAATGCCTCTAATGTCAAAAAGCTCTTTATTTCTCTCATACTGCCTGTGCTGCAGCACTCTTTACCTCTGTCTGAAACGAGGCCCGTCTGCTCTGATTGGTTAGCTGACCGGCTCTGTTTGTGATGATCAATCGCTTGAGGATGTCCCGCCCTTAGCCTATTTTGAGCGCTTAGCCTATAAGAAGCACAAACGTTACCTAGTTGATGTCACCATGTCGCAGAAGTAAACAAAGAAGTCCCAATGGAGAGTTTCAGGAGTGTTGGGTGAGAAATGTCTTCTGAAATTGTCGCAAAGCGAAAAACCTTTGCATGTACATGCACAACAAACACACACTACAGGAAAGTGAAAACCAGAAAAATAGGGCCTCTTTTAATATTTGTACACACAGGAAGTTTTTTATTTATCAGCACCATATTAAATATACTATTTTTTTATTATCTCTGAACACAATCCTTGATTTGCAAATATCGGAACTATTTGATTGGACACTCCCTTCATATATTGAGGAAATAACAATATTTATCACCTGTTTCCATGAGGGTCTGTTCAAGCAGAGCGTGTGTGTGTGTGTTGTGTGTGTGTGTGTGTGGTTGGTGTGCGCGTGGTGTTTGTGTGTGTGTGTGTGTGTGTTGTGTGTGTGTGTGTGTGTGTGTGTGTGTGTGTGTGTGTGTGTGTGTTGTGTGTGTGTGTGTTGTGTTGTGTGTGTGGTGTGGTGTTTTTGAACATGCTCACATGACACACAAACTCGTGACTTTCACACATCCAAGGCCTCCCCTTTGTCTTGTGTCAAGGTCTGTGTCCGCTCTCAGGAGTCGACGGTGGACGGTTTGTCCTCTTCACACCGTGGTGGAAGCACTCACTGTTCATAGGGTTCGGTAGTGGAAATGAGCGCGGCTTTAATTGAGGGCTCTTTTTAAATGCACAATGTTCTGTTAAAGGTAACGTCTGGCTGAAGGACATAATAGGATGCATTATTCCCTCCCTCTTTTATTGATTACGCTGAGGAGCAGGATGTCCATATATTTCCGTTTGTGTGTGGCTGTACTGGCTGTGTGTGTGTCTGTGTGTGTG